CAGTCAGTTAGACTGACAGGTGAAAAGCCAGCAATACACATGTGAAATGCTATTGAACATATTTTTGTATGTTTATCTTTCAATTACATCTTGTATTTCTTTTCTTGGCTTGTTCTTTAGACCCCACCAACAAACAGAGCTGCTCTTATGTTGCACCACAAGGTTAGTGATACCCATCCTCCCCTTATTCAGATCATCTGAGAAAATACCTGAAACTAATGTATGATTATAGTCGGGTAACAAAGAGAACGGGAGGGAAACAAAAGGGAAGTGAAAGGGAGTCAGTATTAGATTTTCAATTATTGTTTAGAACAAGTAATTAAAAAAAATCATTTGGAAATGTGAAAAATGTTTTGCATGAGTTTTTTGACAATTCACAATTCGACTGTGGTTGGCAATTATTTCCCAGTGAATGTCCTGACGAATAGAGATTAATTTTGACGCCATATGTTTATGTTGAAAATAAAGATACCACAATGGCAAAAAAACCCCGACGATTTCACCAGACTTTTGCATTACTTAACTTTGTCATAATTTAAACTAAGCCATTTCTGGGCTGCGGGAGCCTCTTTGTAATTTCAATTATCTGTAAAATGTCTTATTTGTAGGTTCACCTGAGGTTGGCGGACCTGGCACAGTGTTTGTCAATGGGTTCAAGAATGGTGTTCCTTACAGACTCTTAGTTGTTGATAACCTAGGCGCGGATGCGAGGGTGAGCCGTTACCGAATTCCATGGCCATATATTAGGAATATTAAAACATCTGTAATGGATCGTAAAACAGCTCTAAATTTGATAGCATTTTTACTGTGCAGTAATACCAACCGGGACAACTTGAACAAAACTGACCAATCAGATTATAGTAAACTAGACTGAAATTGAATTAAGAATAGCGTTAGCCAATCACGTTCTCACGCTGTTATTATATCGCGGATGCGCTATCTGATTGGCAGGTTAGAAATATTGAGCTAAAGGTTGCAATATAATTGGTTAATGATACCAGTTTATAAAAATGTACCCGGTTGCAGTATCCGCACAGTAGCATCCAATGGCGCAGCGAGTAAAACCATTGCATGCGTTATTGTCGACAGGAAAACAGGGGGTAGCGAGGTCTAAGGTCATTCGGTCATTCAAATTTTTCATTTTCACGCTAATACACACGAAGACGCGTTAAATCCGCCATATCCACAGTAAAACGTTTTGGCCCTTGGCCCCTATTACCCCGTGTCGGGATAGTAGTAGCCTTTTGCGACTAAGTTCCAGTGGAATTCCTGGGTCATTTCGCGCCAAAACGCGTGCACTAAAAATAATTTAACATTCAAGATTCAAACCTTTTTGCATTGATTTGTGAGTACATCAGTAGTTTTGGGGAAAGCAACTTTGTTCGTGTCACCTTCCATACTACTCGAAGACAATTTGTCATTATTATGTATTTTATCTTGCATGTCATTTACATTTTCAACTCTCCATTGCAGACTAACTCATCGTCAGATTACGATACCTTCAAACAATCAGGTCAGCAGTAGTTTCTTTGTTGAAAATTGTTATTTTTGTCATCTCGTTATGGTTCTCATTGTCGTAGGCTACACGCTGTAGGTTACACGTTGCATTCCTCCATGCAACTTGTGTCACAACGCTGTTGCGAGACGGGTTGCAGAAAAAATTGTTCCGTGTAATCCTTAATTTTTTTTTCTTAATCTTCTGCAGGTGGCATAGCGTGGGTACCACTGGACAGCAGTGCTCCGAAAGTAGACCAACTACAGATATCACGTGGAGCTCAGGTTCTTTTGACGGGCACTAATACGCAGTTAAACGTCAACACCGTCACAAACGATGGCACAGGACACCTCTATATATCTCCAAGCGTTCGCCTCCAAGTTGATTCCAATCTCTCTCCTTGCACCAAGATCTTCAACGGTGGAGAGTTGATTATACCAGAAGGCTCTTCCATGTTTACTATCGAGAGGTCTCTTTCTGTTCATGGTAAACTTACACTTTTGAACAATCCCACGGTGGCAATTGGATTGTACGGTGGCGCATTTGAAATGTACCCTGAATCAAGCCCTCATAGTCTGCAGTTTGAAGACCTCATCATTGAGCAAAATTATTTGGTTCATTTGGCCAAGACCAACCCATCATCGAGTTGCCGTTGGATTTTAAGAACAAACGGTCAAATACTTTTAAGAGGTAGTGCTGGGGTGACTGTAGATTGTCCACTTGAATTAACAAGTAATCAAGTAACCTTGGAAAGCAAGTCCAGCTTCAAAGTAAACGGAAATGGTTCAATAACGCGTTTTACTATAAACAATATGGACATTGATGGTACCTTACAGCCAGGAGTATTGTCCGTTGGTTTGCAAAGCGTAACAATTAAAGAACATGGATTGCTACGACTAATACCCTATCAAGAATTTAATGTCAATCAATTGACGGTCAACGGAAGGTTACTGTTTGAAAGTCCTGTATTCATTCAGGGACGACTTCCAGCTGTTTCTAGCAACATCAGCATTGGCTCCTCAGGGCATTTAGAAATGGATGTAAGTTCTCTTCCAGCATTGTCCACGTCTTCTCTTCTCTTAAACGGAACATCTATCATATATGCACAAGACGTGACCATCGCAGGAAAATTGTTAGCTAAAAATCTGAGCATTAATCCAGGTTGGAGGACGTTGACGGTAAAGCCTACAGGGAACTTCCAGTTCAATCCAGTCAATTGGTTTTCTTTTGATCAAGTCTTTATCAGTGGAAGCTTTACGTCCTTAGCTGCCTTGAGCATGAAAGGTCTGTCGCAAAATACCATTCCTCACCTAAGAGTCGGATCTAGTGGTATTGTCAACATAAATTCCATGGAGCTTACAACAATTCTAAGTGATGTAGTAACCATAGAAGGCGTGACTAGAATAGGACAAATAGATTTAGCACGAGGGTGGAAGCAACTGAATGTGCTCGGTAGCAAAGGCGAATTTTATTTCGAATCGAATACTACCATTGATACGAAAACTGTACGAGTGAGCGGACGTCTTCAGACTAATTCTGTCTTTGGCCAAAGTAATCCCGTGAGAGTTCAAAACTTTACTGTGTTACCTGGTGGAACTGTTAGTATTCATTATCAAGGGACGCCCATCAGTCATGGAAAAGGTTCCTCAAAAACAACGATGTTTCTGCACAATCTACAGGTGGATGGGCTATTCCAGACAGGTTCTATGTACGTCAAATCGACAAACGTACTTATTGGCTCTTCGGGCCGAATCGATGTTAATTCTGGAGGATGCGCAAGCGATGAGGGGCCTGGAGCCGGGAGTGGATCTTCAAGTGGAGGGTCCGGCGCCAGTCATGGTGGTAGAGGTGGAAGAGGATCCGGAACAAGGGCTTTGAACCTGCCATTCGGTGATATATTCACTGTAGGTACGTGGGGTAGTGGAGGAGGACGAGGGAGTAGCGCAGGAAGCGGTGGAAGAGGAGGAGGAACGATACAACTGATTGTTAATAAAACACTGCACGTCAATGGCGAGATCCAAATGAATGGAGAACCAGGAAAGGTATGAAAGAGGTTTAAGCACACACAAAAATTATGGTGTTACGGATTCCCTCGAGTATTTATCCTAAATTGTAAAAACAATGGCGAGTGCAACTCGAGGTTGAAGTTTTCGTACATTTACTACTAGTAATTGTATTTTACGAATCCCATTATCCGATTACAACCAATAGACCTATTTACTGGTGCGGCGGCTATTTTGAATAAGGGGATGCCAAGGTGCAAACGTAGAAAATTTATAAAGCATAGAGTGGTGGAGTTAACTTTTCAAATAATTTGAAATATTGGTGTTTCATATATTGTTCCAACTACCAGTAAATTCAATTCCTTTTTAAAATGTGCTTCTCACTGAAGTTATATAAAAAGACACCCTGACAGCTTTGCAGTCTATATATGTTTTCAATAATTAAGTGTGCGCATTTTCTCCTTTGTACGTTTACGCATCATGACTAGTAGTTTTCGGAACTTGATTTGCTTGATTAACCAATGATTTCATTGCGATAATGTGCATCACAGGGTAACTAAGATCTATTAACATTGTTTTTAAATTGTAGTCCAGTAACGCAGGTGGTGGCAGCGGTGGGTCCCTCTGGGCCCAGGCCGATTCTTTTACAGGAAGTGGCACTATAAAAGCCATAGGAGGTAATGGTCATGGTAACGGCGGTGGTGGCGCTGGTGGTCGAATCAATATTTTCTACAAAACTGGTGGTTTCCATAGTGATGGTACCATAGCCAATGGAGGACGAAGTACCTCGGAAAATGGTGGTCCAGGCATTATATATCTGCAAGGTCTTGAACCAAATATCAAAAATCTTCGAGTAGATAATAAGGGACTTAAAGCTATGGTACGTTCTTTTATTTATCATTCAGTCTGCGCATCTCCTTTTCTTTACACTTTCTACGCCCAAATCAAATGAAAACCCGATATTTATTCATATGCCAGAAAAATAATGCTAGCAGCAAATGCCTACCACCCTGGAGTACTATAATGCTCTTTATTATAGACATTAGTGTTTTATTGGGAAATACACCAATCTATTTTTCGTACCAACCACATCTGGGACCTAAGTAACATATTTTCCATATCCTCACTAGTGAAGATATCGATGACGTCTTGTCCAATGTTTTCAACGAGTTTTTGTATGTGAATTTTTCTATATACATGGTTCGCACAGGCCTTGAAAAGTCCTTAAAAATGCATTCGGTACTTGAAAACTCCTTGAATTCTAAAATTTTTATTTTTGTCCTTGAAAAATCCTGGAATTTTTATTTTGACCCTTGAATAATTCATTTTTATCCTGGAATTTCTTGGGTACTATCTAAAATATATTTTTTCATCTTTAGAAAGAGGAAAACCTTGGTTAAATTTACAAAAATAATTAAAATGATACATAAAACAGTAATTTTCGGTTGTTTTGCGGTATTGTGTGTAATTTTCAAGATGGCGTAGGGCTCCTTCAAATTTGGTAATTAAGCTACCCCCTATCCAATGCTAATTCCAAGTAAACACGAGGAGAAGTACTGCATGTTTAAATACGGTTTTTATTTCGCTTCACTGGTTCTTTTCTGTCCTTGTAGTTATTGAAAATGACCATTAAGTCCTTGAAACGTCCTTGAAAAGTCCTGGAATTTTTTTCTTAAATTACTGTGCGAACCATGTATATAATAAAAATTAACTTACAAGTTGGCTTGAAGATATAAAGTTTTTCTTCTCGTGTTAAAAAAATATTTTAGCACTTGAAGATAAACTTCATATCTTCAAGCCACCGTGTAATATCCTCTATATATCTTTACGGCGGTACTGGTAATCAAAGTTCTTTATCCATTTTTAGGTATCACAAGATAGTGGAAACTATGAAACTTTCAAGTCAACAGGTAAGTTCGATTGGTTCATTTACTTAATTATTAAAGTTAAGTGCGAACTATAGCTATCCGAAATCCAAGGAAAGAATAGGATAAATTTCGGAGCTGGGCCCGGTTGTACGAAGCCTGGATAGTATCCGGCGGATAAATCCTTATCCATTGAATAAGTCGATGCTGTTATTGAATACATTTTTAAGATTAGATTTATCCGTTGGAAACTATCCAGGCTTTGTACAACCGGGCCCAGAACTTTAACTTTTATTAATTCTTATAGCGGTGTCGTTAAGTCAATGCAGAATGATAATGGAAAAACATTACGTCCAAGCGGAAAAGCAGTCTCATAAAATGTTACTTTTTGCAGGGGTGGTTGCTTATTTAAATTCCCCAAGTGACGGCTTTACCTACGAGTTTACTCACATCGAGGTCTACGGAGCAGCCCATCTTTTCTTCCCGCGCTTGAATACTCACGTCAAAGTTGATACTATATATGGTGATGACACCGGGTCTATCCACGTGGCACCCTACACTACTCTTAATATGACGTCAACATCTCAGTATCTTCGAATCAATGTGACTTGGGCTCCAATGATTTACCAGAATGCTACTTTAGTTTTGCCCAATGGTACAGTGGAGCTACGCCGATCTGAGAGTCTTGAGTATCCCAGTCTTACACGCAGTTCTCATGTTTCGATATGGGGACGTGTGATTGGTAATAATGCTCATTTGATGGTTGGTTATGGCGGGACTCTGAGCTTCGAGACCTCAAGGTAAAACCTCATTGTGTTAGTTACTTCCACCATATGGACGCTTCCCTGGGTGTAGATCAGTGTTCGTATGACTAAAAAAGTTGGTTCCGTATGCGTGCCTTGCCGCGACCGTTATTATAGAATTTTGATTGGGGGATTTTTTCTCGCGCAATGTGATTGGTCTTGCAGTGCCGTGACCTTGTCGTGACCTGTCCGCACCATGTTAATTCCGTGTTTCGGATATTTGATTGGATGGAGAGTAAAATTTTGTGCAATGTGATTAGGCTGGCTTATGCCTTTCCGTATCACAACCGTGTTTGTGCCGTGAGCTATTCACAGTCATACAAAAACGGCTCTATTACATGGTTTATGACGTCAAAAAAGACACGTGCATCAATGAGACACGCCTCAAACCCTTTGCTCATAATCGCTATTATATGAAGATAACAGAAATTAGGACTGATATTTTCTGTAAAAATCATTAATTTTTATCCTCCATTCTTATTTCCTAATGTGATAGACTTTGCATAATTGTTCTTAATTTTGTTATATTGACAGTACTCGTACTTTGACATTTGTCGGTATAACGATCCAAAAGAATGGGCGTCTGGTATTTGAAAGTTTACTGGGCAATGAGACTGATCAGTGGGTCGTTCATGTAGTGAAAGACTTTGGACCTGTTGGACGGGAAGGCTTGGTAACGATTGAAGCAGAAGGTCGTTTGGAGGCTCGTTCGTTAAATCTGCGGGCCGTATCCCTTGTTGTCGATCCTGTTGGAGTTCTTTCTTTAGATGGTCAAGGACTACTGGCAGGTAATTTCGGAAAGTGAAGAGAGAAAGTGTAGGATGCGGTTTTTGACTGCATCAAGAGAGTAGACTGAGTCTTACGACAAGTCCATTAAGGACTGGAATGCTATACCTAAAGGTCTGAGAGAATTTATTTATCTAGCTTTAAAAGGTCTCTTTTTAAGAACATTTTAGGTAAGCAAAAATCTGATTAAAGATTTTCATAACATAATTTCTGATTATGTATTGATTTTAGATATATAGTACTGATATATAAACATTGTTTTCTGAATTTTATTTTAAATTGAAAAGAATGCTGAACTTTATAGCGGCCATTAGGAAATAGCTTGCGAGCAAATGTTCCTATAACAAGCGTATGCGCACTGAGAAGTACGTCTCTGCGTCTGCTTCTTATGCCTCGATTGAAGTCTAGCCGAGGGCTTATGTTAAAAGATAAAAATTTTAAAATCTAGCAAATCAAATTTATTCTTTTTTTTCTTTCTTCAAGGGATGGGTGCTGGTGCAGGATTTGGCTCTGCTGACGGTTCTGGTGCAGGATATGGAGGCCGTGGTGGTCGCGGTGCATCGACCCAGCAAACTGGATCTCCATACGGGGACTTTAAGATGCCTCTGGTGTTTGGTAGTGGTGGAGGAGGGCCTGGTGCTATGGGGGGAGCTGGTGGTGGTTTCTTACAGCTTAATATTGCTAAGACTCTTGTTGTTGAAGGTAATCTATACAGCATAAGCTAAACTAAAAGTCTTATTATTAAAAATATGTCATGGCATGTTTCAGTAGTAGGTTCATAATGAAAATGAAAATGATAATGATGATGATAATGATGATGATGATGATGATGATGATGATGATGACGATGACGATGACGATGACGACAACGACAACGACAACGACAACGATAATGATAATGATAACGACAACGATAATAATAATGGCTTTTTTGGTAAAACTCAAGCAATGCGTAGCATTAGTTTACGATTTGACCAAAAAAATTTCAAAACTTATATTTCAATTTCGTTATTTCAATTTGCGCAATATAACGATTATTAGAATTATTATAGAAGATTATTAGAATTATATTTTTATTTTTGCTGATGAATGGGGGTCATTAATGTGTTATTCATCTGTAATGCCTTTGCTATTCTTAGGCACGATAACATCAGGTGGTCAGGGAGGCAAAGCAACAAACACAGGGGGTGGTAGTGGAGGGAGTATTCTCATCCATACCTATGCTTTTGAGGGATCCGGCGTGATCTCGGTCAACGGAGGAAATGGCAATGCTAACGGTGGAGGTGGAGGCGGCGGACGGTTAGCTGTTTATTGGAAAGATCGTGAATGGTGGTTTGGAAGCCTTACGTCATTTGGTGGATCTGGGAGTGGCTCAAGAAATGGAGGTCCTGGAAGTGTATATCTAGAGGTACAAATAACTATTTAGAGAGAATTCTTTTCGTATTCAAGCAGTGAGCGCCAAAAACTATTTTCTTGAAGAAAGACTGATGTACAAGGCTAAAATCTTGTCATTCAGAAAGTTTAAGTTGTTTGGAAGTGGAGATGACCGATGAAAGTGGAATCAAAGTGTTAACCCAAAGCAAAAATTTTCTTCGAAAATGAGGTTTAGGCCTTCATTTGCTTATTTACCATATATTTTCTATAAAAAAAGCCTGACAAAGCAACATTCTAACACAAATGCAACAAAACATCTTTGTACAATTGAAAATATAAAATTATGGTACATCAGTTTCTAAATGTTTAAAAAATGTTTTGAGTGTTAACCCAAAGCGAAAATTGGGATCAAAACTCATACGAAAGTCTAGTTTTTGGCGCTTTTTGCCAGTATTGCTCATGATTGAAAAAAATTTCCTCTTAACATCATATTATCTGCTAACGAGTAAATGTATTCATAATGTTGCTAATTATGAACTAAAATGACATCATGCACTATGATGTTTGTTTGTCGATGTTATTTTAAAAGGTATTTAAGGCTAAAGTTCAATCCCATAAAAACTGCAAACCTTTGCGGCATGCTGCGCCCGAACGAGAGGCGCCTGTGACATTGCGAAAACCCATGCAGAGCCATTTCAATATTGTATTTCGTATTAGTGTATGTACTACGAAAATCTGAATGAACTATAAGTTGCAAATTTTTAAATATTACTATTGAATAGTGGCTATTTAGCACAATCTTGGTTATAAGCCCCCCTCCCCCGGTTATAACCCCC